ACTTAACATATTCAAAGGCTCTGACAGGCACCAATTCATTGTGAGGCTTTTCATGTGCTTTCTCTGACATGGCAGTGCTGTAGAAGCACAGTTTTATGCATATACCTTCTTGCAGTAGCTAGCAGGGTTTATATCCTCAGTTGAGTTTTTAAAGGTGTTGTAACCATGTAGGAAATCAAATTATGGACTAGTCAGCATACTAGAGATTAATGTTCCCTAGCTTGAGACTCTAACCTCTAGCTATGGAGAATAAAGAACATCAATTTCTCTTCCTAGTTTTCACTTTACTGTCCAACCCACCCTATTAGTGGAGCCCCAGAAAACACAAAGTCTTTAATCCGATTTTAGAAATGCACATGCTTTAACTTTGTTAATAACAAAAATTTCATGGTCCAAAAAACATTTTTATTTTCTTTGACTTCATACTGTGCTTGGATCCTTGTGCTCCAGGTTGGTTTAGCCAGAATCCCCCTCACCCCTGATGTTTCTCCTTAATAATTTTTCATCCACTTATCCCCACCCTGCTCTTTGGCTATAAATTCCCATCTACTATGCTGTTTGCAGAATTGAGCCCAGTTCTATACTGAGGTCTCTTCCCCTACTGCAATAGTCCTGAATACAATCTATTTTTACTGCTTTTTACCTAGTGTCCAACTTTAGATTTTCTCTGACAGTTAAACAACTATAGTCATATGTTATTGTCCACTTTTAGGAAAATTGCTCCAATTAAAAATAAATACCTGTGGACAAGTTAGAAGAAACAGACTTCTAACTTTTCTTTGTGCTGAAAAACAGCATAAAAACATACACATATGCAGTGTACTTCAGTCCACACACAGTATTACCGTGCCCGTGTTGCATACAAAGCACATGCTAGGCGTACAGACACCATGATGAGCACTACACACTTTCTGCCTTTAGAGATTTCACAGCCTTCCTGGGTCCCTGGGTGAGGGGAAGTGTATATGTAGAATAAAGTGCAGTAGTATTTAAATAGAGGTTTGCCATAGATGGATGATAGATAGATAGCTAGGATGGAGACACAAAGGAGAAAACAACCCGTACTCTTGGAATCATGGGGTGATCAGAGAAAGCTAGAGAGAGGATAATGGCATTTTAACTTAACTCTGAAGGTGAAGTAAGCAGCTACCAGCTGTACAAGGAGAAGTTAGTTCTAGGCCGAGGGCAGAGGCAGCACAAGAGCAAAGGTGAAGAAGAAGACACCTGGCACACCCCAGGATGCCCGGAGCACAAGGATTCAAGCGCAGTACAAAGTCAAAGCTCAGTAAGCATTTGCCAAGTGCACAAATGCATCCATGGATGCAGGAAACCAGGAAAGAAATATAAACCATTGATCTCAAGATTGGGACAGTCCTGAGCAGCTGATCTAGCTAAATAAGTGTGATATCTGCAGAAAGTAGTGACTGGACTGGAGAGTTTGTGAAAAACTGTCTTGCCAATGGGTTTCAACCCTGGGCAAGTTCACTATGGATCCAGTGTGACCAAAGAAATGACAGCATAACGTTCTTGGGGTGAAAGGGTTTATTACCCAGCTTGCTCTCCTGGCGGGAGGTCGAGCACTAGAGTTACCTCTGCATCCAACAGTCTGCAGCTCTGTAATCCTCTGTCCTCTCTACCTCCACCCAGAGCACTGGGCAGAGCTCTTTATATAGTGACTTGGTCAATAATAGCTTATTGCCTACGGGTGTGGAAGCAGTTACCTAGCACAGGCCAGTTATATCAACAAGTGGTTTAGGTTCAGTGAGGATCCTGGCCATAGGAACCCCAACTTTCCCCACAAAGACATACAATGGATCTTTGAATTCCAGCTGCATTTCTTATTGGCATGAAACTTCTGATCATGAAAACATTTTCAGGAGAAAAGGATCAGAACTGAAAGGTCATTTCAGAGCATCTAATTCAGTCCCCAGCAGTTACAACAATGGGCTCAAGCTCCAGATCCTGCTTCATGCCATGGGCCTCCCCCCACCCCCCAAACCCCCCAACAGACAATGAGGAAGGACCTGTCAGCTAAGGCCGCTGGCCACCCTGAAGGAAGCAAGCAATGGAGGAAAGGAGAAGGGGGTATATAGAGAGGAAAGCAGGCAGAGGGCAGGTTTAGGATTTGGCCAGCATTTGGTTTATTCCTCAGCATCTAGCTGGAACGGAAACTCTCCTAAGTCCCATTCCCACCAATGCAGAGGAAAGGTTTTCACAGCCTGCCGCACAGGAACAAGCCCGCCGTCGGCCCTGCTGAGGGGAGGGGCTTTTGTGGCCCTTCAGCAACGTGGTTGGTGCTTTCCTCCCCACTTCACCAGGGCAACTGGTTGCGAGGTTCCAACCCAGCCCTTCAAACTCTTACAGGAAATTCCTAGAGACTAATTAGTCTGACTACAAAGTCTTTGGCAGCTCAGCTCTGAAGCCCTCCTTTGAATTCTAAAGACCCAGCGGGGGCACCTGGGCCTTGCTCCAGAGACCTGAGTGGGATGGGCTTCCCCAGATGGAACAAAACTGACCCTTGATGTCTTTGCTCCAGCATCCTACACCAGCCGTCCTGAATAAAAATATTTTTCCTACAGAAAAGGAGGTTTTAACCCAGTGGTTCTTAGACCTCAGCATGCATCGTATTCACCTGCAGGGTTTGCTAAAGTACAAATTGCTGGGCCCCACCCGCAGTTTCTGATTCAATGGGTTCAAGATGGAGACTCGATTTGCATTTCCAACAAGATCCCAGATGATAATATTTGTCTGCCAAGACTTACACTTTGAGAAGCACTAAATTAGGAATCAGGTTTTGTGAAAGGCATATGATAGGTCTTAGACTCCTGCTGCATTTCTCACTGGCATGAAATTTTTGACCATAAAAAAATTTTCAACAGAAGATCAGGAATTCAGAAGAAAAAGGTTAGAAATTGGTGCCAGAATTAATTAAGGGATAAAGGTGAGTGAATTTTTTCCTCTGTTGAGTACAGTCTATTCCCTGTGGCCTTGCTTGCTCTAGAAATACCAGACAAGGTGTAGTGTGAGTTTCTTCTCCTGCAAGAGATGCCAGGGCAAGGAGAGGGGTTGGGTAAACCCCAAACTCCCACTCATAATGGACTACTTGTTAAGAAGAAAGGAAGCTCCACTCTTAATGTTCATAAGCTCCTGTGGTTTGGTTTTTTTTTTTTCCCTGCACTCAAGTTCTTCTCTGCCCACCTGCACCTCAAAATTGCCAGAAATTCTTAAATCAGGAATCAGGCCTTGTATTTTTTTCTGCAAACAAGGTCCTCTCTGCCCTCTTATACCTCAGAATTGTCTTCTGTCCTTCTCCTTGGGAGCAATCATTTCCTTGATTAATTATTGCTCAAACTACTTATCACTACAACAGTTTTGTGCCTGGCATCTTGAGACATACCTAATTTTATTTTCTGCCTGTGGTGAAAATGGAAGCTCCTATGGCCAGGATCCTCACCTGACCCTAAACTACTTGATGGTATAATTGGCCTACTGCTAGGCTACTGCTCCCACACCATTAGCAATGAGCTATTATTGACTGAGTCACCATATAAAAAGCTCTGCCCAGTGCTCTGGGTGGAGGCAGAGATAATGGAGGATTGCAGACCTGTGGACTGTTGGATGCAGACATGATTCTAGTGCTTGACCTCTGGCCGCAAGAATAAAGCCAGGTATAAACCTTTTTACTCCAAGAACGTTCTGTTCCGCTGTCATTTCTCTGTCTCACCAAATCCATAGTGAACTTGCCCAGGGCTGAAACCCTAAGGCAAGACACTCCCCCTCTTATCTAGGTCAGAATCTTATTTATGATCTCCAGGTCCAAAACACATATAATAGAAACAATGAAACAACACAGCCCAGAGAACAAAGACATGTTCTTTCCTAAGAAAAAGAAGCTTCAGTTGAAAGCTTATGTAAACTCGAGATTCAAAATGGAGTTGCATGCACTGGGAATATGGTAAATTTACTGCTGCATTAATTCTGTGAGTGAGGAGACTTTTTTCCCCTGGAGAAGATTAGGAACTAGTGCCAGAATTAATTAAGGAAAAAAGGTGAGTGAATCTTTTCCTCTGTTGAGTACAGTCTATTCCCTGTGGCCTTGCTTGCTCTAGAAATACCAGACAAGTTCTAGTGTGAGTTTCTTCTGCAAGAGATGCCAGGGCAGAGAGAGGGGTTGGGTAAACCTGCAAACTCCCACTCATAATCACTTGTCACATGTTGAACTACTTAAGAAGGAAGGAAGCTCCACTGTTAGTATTTCCAAGGTCATGAGAAGACACAGTTAGAAAGCAGTTGTGGAGGTGGCCATTTGGGGGCCTCCAGGTGGATGGCCTGGGGTGGAGATAGAAAGGGTTGTAGTTCACACGGGATGTTACCCAATACCAAAACCTACACTTTTTTGCAGGTGGCAGTGGGGCCCTGGGTGGAGCAACAGCAGGTGATAAAGGGTTGTGAAATGTGGACCGAGTGTGGAAAAGAACGTCTCAGAGAAACATCAGAGGGTTCTGGAGAACTGTGATGGGTACACATGAATTTCTGGATGAGACTATTCAACCCACTAGGGCATGAGGTAGAGGATGAGGGAGATTCTGTCAGCTGACAAAGAAGTGGGTTGTGGACTGGGGGTGGTAAAACCTGGGATATGTTGAACAGACCTGTTAGATTACTACCTAAATGCCGCCATTCTGGTCCAACCCATTCTATGGGTTGGAATATTTCACCTAAACCTTGAGCATTCTCCAAGTTTTCATGCTGCGTCACACCAGGTAATAGCCATGCCATTTTGCTACAATACCTCTCCTTCCCTTAGTGCTGGGCTTGTGCAAAAACAACAAAAAATAAAATCACTAAAGAGAAGAAGTGAAAAGTAGAACACTTTCCAACTTTGAAATCAGTGTGGTTAGACAATCTTCATCTTTTACTTGTGCCTTTTGTTCTCTTTGCCCAGATGTGTCACCTTACATCTAACTCTATTCTTTTTATTTCTTACCACTTCCTTTTAGAAATCCTGACTTCAGTCTAGAAGACAAGCTCAAGGAGGGCAGGAACTCTGCTTTCTCGCCAACCATTTACTCAGCGCCTGGTGTCTGCCTGGCACAGTGTCCTCAGTAAGTGTTTGTTGAATGAATAAAGATGGGGGGGTGCCAGGCAAAACATGGAAAAGAGAGGAAGAAATGTTTCTGAACAGTGAATCTGGCCTAGAGCCCCTTAACTAGTGCCACCACTTTGGAAGATGCACCTTAAATTCTCATCACTGCATACTTGTGGTGAAATAGGGATAATTATGCCTCCCTTGTAAAATGGTTGTAGGGATTAAATGAAACGTTTGCAAATTACTCAGCTCTGCACCTGATGGAGAGTAGGAGTTCAGTAAATTAGAGTTATATTGGTTTGCCTATTCTGTATATTCAATCCTTCTGCTCTTCTTTTAACTATAGCTAAAGACATCCTAAGAAAATTAAGCCTATGTTAATCCATGTAGCTAAAAATCTGGTGGTGTGAAACTCAGCAATATACTGTACTGTTCTTATTTTCTCTTCTCTCAATTGAAAACATGCCCAGAAGCAAATAACTAGCCATATAAAGATTGGACAGCAATTCCCAAGCAGTGCACAATACTCTGGTCATGCATTCAGCATGCAGGTCAATGGCACACTGGATTTTCCAAGCACATTCTAGGCCCTCTGTATCAAGAGGATTGTATTTGCCATCTCCGCTCTCTGGCTGTACTGTGGTGAGGATTACTGAGCTGATATGTATTAAGTATTTCAAGCTGCAGGGAGGAAGAGGTATCACAGGAACACGGAGTGGTTTTAAATGCCAACAAACTGCTATAACTCATGGCATGTTGGAGGCTTTACAAAGAAAATCATGATCATGATTCCCACAAATAACTCCCTTATGGTTTTCCATGTGTGAACTAATATGCAGAATAGAGAATAATTTGAAAATTTATCAATTTGCTCCTATTTAAACTTTAAACATCTCAAAGCTAGTCAGTTGTGGGGTTTTTTTTTTTGTAAGTTCTAATGAAAATGCTTCATATACCTGTTGGCTCCTCATAGCATAAAGTCAGAATTCATCAAATATTTTAAGTGATTGCATTTATGATCAAAGCAGAATGCCTTCATTAAATAAGTAATTAGCCTTGAGGAGAGAAATGAACACAAAAGTCCAATTTGTGAATTTGCTAACTGTTCCTCCCAGGAACAGAACCAATAGCCATTCCTTATGCAGGTACATATTATAGTTACTTTGATCATGGGGATTATGCATAATCTTCTGAAATGCACATGGACAAAAATAAAAACATTAAAGTAATGAACCTGAATACAATGTAGCAGAATCAAGATTAGACTAGAAGCCAATAAAACTGGGTTTTAGTTCAGGCTGCTACTCATAAACTGGGTGACTTAGGATAAATGACCTTAAATTCTGGGGGCCTCAGTTTCCTCAATTATAAATTATTACATAATTATAAACACAGGCTGGACCATAGGATTGCTAAAGTCCCTTCCAGTGCTAACGTTTTTCAGGCTTCTTTTGAGGAATTCCTCCCTTCCAATTCTAATTTTGAAGCCACCTGCTTCCTAGCACTGTGCCTGTCAAATATCATTGCTGCCAGCAACTTACAAGGTAAGTCTGTTTGTGCAAGAGAGAGGCTTCTGCCTGATCTAGTTTTGTTTACAGTGGCAGCATTTCAGCACGTCCTCTGCTTTCAGCAGGAAGCAACCAGGCAGCAAAATTGCTCTAGCATTAAACAAATCCAGCTGCAGGGCATCTTCAAAATGCTCCCTATGTGTTTTTCGATTTAGCCTACTATTAAAATTTTAAAGCACAATTTAGAGCTACAGTATGCAGTCTTCTGTAACAAAATGAATTCAGGTTTCTCATTACTGGATTTGGGGTGGCAGGGGAGGGCAAAAAGGAAGGGGGATGTTCAGAGAGAGGAGATATTTTAGAACATGGAGCATGATTTGCCTTTGATCCCTCCTATCCAAGCGTTCATCCCCTGTGCCCCAGGTAGGGCTGCAGCCCTATTCTTCCCACAATCCAGCCAATTCAGAGCTGTAGATGAACTGCAGACTGAGACACAGGGGATTGGAGCAGGGCCAGCCTAACCTGCAGGTGGAATGAGCGGTTTGGATGAGAGGTGTCATCTGAGAAGCTATGGGTCTGGATTGGCAAGAGGAATGGAAGCAGCAGACAGAAGGCATCCTGGGCAGAGTAACAAGGCATGGAGGAAGGAAGAGCTCTGTATGTTTCAACAGTGCAACTAGTTCTCAGTGACTTTGCATTTCATGGGAGAAAAATGCAAGAGATAAGATGGAGAGATAGGCAGTGACCTATCATATGAAGTATTATAGAACTGTGTCTTACTGCTCCAGATCACCCCTCCAGGGTAGAAGGACTCATTCTATAGCTGCTACTCATCCAAGATTAGACCCCCTCCCTCCCCTGCTCCATGTACCCGCCAGGGCCACACATACCCAATAACTTGTTGCTGTCACAGTAGGGGGTGGTGTCAGGCAATATAAAGGCTCCTGAGGGCACGTCCTAATACATTTCCCACATGCTAACCTGCAACTCAGATTCTGCTTCTCACGGGGCCCAACCTGCAATACTATGCTATAGAGGGTGGTAGTACCGTATTGGTAATGATGAGACTCTGAAAGGCTGTAAACTGGGGTTAACCCTGACCACATTTGCAGTTTTAGAAGATTACCCTGTGGCAGTATGTGCAGGGTGTGTACTAAAGTGGGCAAATGCAGAGAAATAGTGCCCTGTGGGAAATGACTCTGATGCAAGTGCCCTCCAAGTGCACAGCTAGCAGCACTATCCCCGCAGCATGGCTCTCCCATGGAACAAAGCTCACAGCATGGAGTGAAATGCTCAGACTACATAGCTCATTAGTTCAATCCAAAACACATGGTGAGCAAGGGGCAGCCGGTTGAGTATGCTAACACCGTTAGGATCGGGTGCAAGCAGGTGAAGGGCCGTGTGCATGTTCATCTGTCCTCCTCCCTTCCCCCCACTCATGTGGGGCTTCCCTGCGAACTGAGTGGTTACGAGGACCACAGCTGAGATCTGAGCAAGGGGTCTCCACAGAGGGAAGGTACAGAGGCCTAAGGCACACTTGCTCTGTTGAAGGGGCACAGGGCAAGTGCGTCTAGCCACAGCGGTGCTCTCCAAATGGGCTGCAGAACAGCCATGTTTTGCAGCTAAATTTTATCTGCTACTCCTTTGCAGAGCACAAGTAAGGCCAGAAGAAAATCATAATTGTACTGGGTGTCACCATTGGGTGACTGATTTGGAGGTGACGTATGCTGTCAGCCCTGTGAAAGCGCATCGCCCCTTCTATCCATGAGCAATTCTGTTTGTTACATCATATTTGTTCTTTATTCTGTGTATCCTCTGCATGTCTCATAGGTTAATAACTTACTATCAATTTTAAGCACAGCTTATATATTCTACCTAAGTACCACACACTAAGAGTTTAATCATTTTCTATACTTAAAACATCCTACAAGTTTTGTCTCTGTCTCATAAACTCCTTATTACTACTCATGCTTCATGTAAGAGGTATATTCATCCTGCATATTTTGTCTTTAATAGCAGGATCAAATATTCTCTAATACTACAGTAAATGCATGTTATAAGTAGTGGCCATTTTAGAGGGTTTTTTTTTTTGCAAAAGTGGAAGCTACAAGTGATGTGGTTTTGAATTAGGAATGGAGCTATAGAGATGAAAGCAATTCCATGAGGTCTAATATGCAGAAATGATGATTCATGAGAGGTAGTAGGTGAATATGATGGACACTGTTTGTTGGCTGACCCAATAGCCATTCCATCCCTCTTATTCCTCCCAGTTTAGAGGTTAGAAAATCTAAACACTCAACATTTACAGGCTTTCTTGTTCCTGGAGGTGGCCATAGGTCATGGTTCTAGCCAAAGAGATGTATATGAAAGTCTGCTAGGGGGAATTCTATGAAAGAGGTTGCTTCTCTTTAATATAATCGTAAATAGCACAATTTAAATAATTAAAAGGACAGATAAAGCTGGAGCCATCCCTCCCATCTTCTTCCTGACTTAAACAAGAAAGTGATGGTTGGAGCTGTGACAAACATGTGTTACCTTCCATGATATGAGAAGCCACATGCTATGGCAGTGTAGAAATATAGGAAGAACCTGGGACTTGATGGCATCTATGAGCTGCTTCTTCAGCCCTGGACTGCCAACCTCCATACCTATTGTTATAGGGAAAAAATGAGCCCTATTGTTAAACTGCTGTGAGGAGGCAGGATAATTTAATCACATGGCCAAATCTTGATGCAAAAGACACTGTGAAATACAGCCTTCATTTTGAATGAACTTACAGCCAACTAAAAATTGAAAAATCTTTTACTAATACAAAGGGACAACTTGCAGTATTTTCCATCAGAGGCCCCACGCTGCTAGTGCTCAGCAATGCAAAGTCAAGTTTCCTGTCTGCTCTATTCTCTAGTATCCCACAACTGCAAGCAAATTGAGGTTGATTAAACTAGAATCTTAGAGATGGCAGATCCCAGACTCAACATTTTTTAAAGCCCCCCAGATGATTCTAAATGAGCAGCCAGGGTTGAGAACCTCAGGTTTTAATGAATATATCTGTTTGGGATAGGAATATGGTCATCCCTTCTTCCTTCTAGACCTTAAGCCTAGTATCTGGATTTCTAAGCAGAGGTGGGAAATACCAGAACATTAGAAATGTAGAGATACCAGTTTCCTCCTGTAGATTAATTGTAATACTGATCTTGAATGCAAACTACAGATCCATTTTTAGAGAATCAGGATAAGTTCTGTTGAGTGAAATAATGCTATTCTGCCATATTTTTCTTTCAGCTGCTACAAGTGTCACCAAAACTTCCATCTACATAGCAAAAAGAGATAATCCTATTGTTATTCTGTCTGCAAATTTTTCTACAGTCTAGAATCCTTTTATAAACTGAGGCCTTTTTTTTTCCAGAATTGGAAACCTTTTGGTCATACTTTTATCAAAGGCCTTTTCTGATGTCTCAATTCAGCTTTCACTTTGTAGTGGTCATAATATTTCTGTCAACAAAACTCAGGTATACAAAAATGTAAAACCTATGTTTTCCATATGTGACCCTATTTTCTGTCTTGAGCCTCCATTCTATTTGATGACAAAATTAGAAACAAGTCGATTCCAGGTAAAGTCAGTCCATTCAGGGTCTTTCTCCCTCCACTTTTGCCCTGGCAGGTTGGGGGAGACTGACAGTACATCTGGATGTGAAGGGAGCCCATCTGGTCCTTGGCTGTCACCTGTCCATGCTGGCGCCCTCTACCGAGTCTTCATTCCTAGGAGTCACCAATTGTCAGCATCTCTGCGCTCTGGCATCCACAGGGGCAGCTGAGTTCCCATCTGGCCTTTGATATAAAAACAGTGGGGACATCTGCTCTTGGGCCCCTCCTCCCCATACAAAGCACCTCCCAATGTGCCAGGCCTCCTTGAGATCCTCCTGACCCATCTCAGACAAGCAAGCTCACATGCACTTCTGACCACTGTGGGCTGTGGGACACTCAGGCCTGACCTGCTTATGCTAGGATCTCTTCTCCCCAGTTTGCACACCAGGGCAGAGGGTGAGACAACCTCAGACCTTTTTCACTTTCCTGGGACCTCCTGGGAAGACAAGGCAAACAGACCCTCACAGCCCTTGAGCCCCCCATTCAGCCCAAAACAGGGGCTAGATATACAACAGCATTTCCCCTCTTTGACCTCATTCCCAGCCCACTGGGATCTTCATCTATCAAACTAAACAGGAAAAATGCTGACTCGATATGTAGGAGCAAAGGACATTTATTTTTGAATGTACATACATTAATTAAATTTATTAATACACAAAATCTATTTAAGGTACATTAATACTTCAAAAATACCATTTGGTCATACCTCCTTGTCATCCTGGGAAGTTTGCATCCAATTCACTCATCAGCAGGAAGAAAAATCACATTAAAAACTAGACACAATATGACAGGTTTTTATTCTAATAGTGGAAATAGCAGAGCTCATTTTTTCTCTTCTATCACCTTTTATACATTTTTCAAATTTCTACTTTGAACTTTTTGCTTTACATTTCTATAGTAAACACATCTAGAAAATACTCAATTAAATCTCTGCTGAAAAGAAAAGGCATAAAAGAAAAGATTGATGAATCCAATGACATCCAATTTTAAATTTAAGTAAGATACAAAAAAACTCCACAAAGAAAATCAGACAAATGACCAAAAGACAAAAGAAAGAAATTTCTCACATATGACAGAAAGAGTTCAGGAAAAAGATGGATACAATAGGCACACTTTATAAATAGCCTGTTAAGAAAAAAACAAAAGCAATAGCCAAAAACATAAGAAACACCTCACTCAATTACAGAAATGCAAACTAAAACAAAACTGACATGTCATTTTTACTTACCAGATTTGCAAAGTGTAAAAAATGTATAAACTTAGTAATTGGTTAGGGTTTAATTGGTTAAGGATGGATATTATACTATTCCTGAGAATATAAATTTGAATAACTTAAAAGACATTTGGAAAATGGATCAAAATTTTGAATGTATTTCTAGGAACCCTTTGAAAAAGTAAACCAACCAAATGAGATATGAACAAGGGTATAAACAAAGATAATCATTGTAGGAGTGTCCGTAACAGTCAAAAAAGAGGGGAAAAGGGTGGAAACAAACTAAAGAACTATTAAAATGAGATTGCTTAAATAAATTATAGTACATCAATATAATCAAATGCCATATAATTAAAACAAACATGAAGTGATGTGTCATATTTTAATATGGAAAATTCTCTAATATATTAACTGAAAAGACAATATATAGGACAGGGTGAACAGTATAATAATCCTTTTCATGTAAATAAAAAATATGTTCTATAAATATCAGTGCTTATGTATTCACAAACTGTTTTTTGGGAAATATAATAGAGTATTAACCAATAAAATAAAAGAACTGCTAATTTCTACTACAGTTTGAATAGCCTAAGTTCATGTTTAATATTATTTGTTTAATAGCAGTCACAATTATCTTCTTATGGAATTACAGATCATTCTGTTTTCATATGGAATTTGTTTTAAAAAAAGCATTAGTTTAATTTTTTTAAAAAGCAATAATATGTAGAATTTCATGAAGTCCATCCATTCCTCTGATAGTTGGTTCTTAAGGAATGTGATAAAAGTTACAGCCCTTATCTAACCAATGCAGCAACCACTAGCCACATGTGCCTATTGAGCACTTGGAATGTATCTAGTTTCAATCGTGATGTGCTGTATGTGTTCAATACACATCTGACTTTAAAGACTTAGTATGAAGAATGTAAATGATCTCTTAGTAGTGTTTTCAGGGTGAAATAATATTTAGATATATTGGAGAAATAAAAGTAATTTCACCTATTTCACCTATTATAAAATGTGGTTACTGAAAACTTTGCAAAATTTGAAAATGGTAAATGTCATTAGTTTTATATTCAGAATCTTTCTATTGGACGGCACTATTACAGGTTCTTGCCCTTTGTGCTCAAAATGTTGAGTCACCATAAAAATGTGTATCCTGGTTGTCATTGTAGGGTGATGCTCTCGCTCTTGGTTCAGGGTCACTATTACCAACATTCTTTTGAAACCTGTTGTTTGAGCCGATGAGTGGATATTTCGAAGACTCTTATCACAGAATCTTTACAGAGGACCTTTTTAAGGAAGGTAGTATCAATTAGAGTTGTGAGTCTATTGACTAGTTAATTTACATAATAGCCAATACGTATTGAGCCTTTCTAGACACCAATTACAAGTCTCAAGTTCTTTACATCGATTACCTTACTTAATCCTCACCACTTGGTAAGGTAGGGACCATGATTATCCCCTTTTGCAAATAAGGAAGTTGAGAGTTGCTGCTCACAGTGACTGAGCCCGTGAATGGTGACTCTGACCCAAAAGCCCAGGTTCTGAAACTCTCCACTATCTTTTATCAATCCCATGAACTAAAGAGCCAACCAGGTTTTCCTTCTGGTTACAGCTACTAGGAAACGTGGAGCCTAAGAAGTATGGGAGAAGTGCAGTCTGGCAGTGTCCTCAGCCATGGCTGTATTGTGTCTCCTGAGGTTTGTTTTCTTTATTCTATTTTTTATCTCCTAATTAAATCCCTTTCCCATAGTTTACATGCCCAGGTAAGTTGCTGAATAACCCTCCGAAAGAAGGCATCGTCTGCACCTTCTCAGATTCTGAGGGCCCGTCTGTCTCCTTGGCTGCTTGCTCTGCCTCTGTCAATGCTGACATTGGCTCTGTGCGGGCCTCAGCTGACTTCAGCCTGGGGCCCACACCTCGTGTCTTTACCTCTGCTCAGCTATTTCTGAACTTAAGGTGCCAAAGGGAGTAAGTGATGCAATAGGAATTGTGGGGGCGTTAACTCTCTGTAAGGTCACCTTTAACTAATGGGTGACAGGAGATGAAAGACAGAAAATAAACATTCTCTCTGTTCCTATGTGCAACAGATCATTCCAAAGTACATATTTTCTGAACAGACTCTCCAGAAATATTGCATGTTGTCAAGCAATCCCCTGTAACTCTCCAAATCAAGTAAAGAAGTAGCCAGCTTGGTATTTGATTGTTATCCTTCCCTGTTTTAATTCCCTTTTCCTCAATCTCACTGCCCTGGGATTACACCTCCCAATAAAACATTGTCTCTTTTTTTAATTGAAGCATGGTTGATATACAGTATTGTATTGGTTTCCACTGTACAACATGGTGATTTGACAGTTATACATTGTTAAATGCTCACCATAATAAGTATAGTCATCTGTCACCATAACAAATTTAATACAATATTATTGACTATATTCACTGTACTTTTCATTCCCGTGACTTACTTGTTTTATAATTGGAAGTTTGTTCCTCTTTATCCCCTTCACCTGTTCCCCCCACTCTCCCTCTCCTATGGCAACCAACAATTTGTTCTATTTTTTAGTCTATTTCTGTTTTATTTGTTTCTTTGTTTTATTTTTTTACATTCCCCATATAACTGAAATTATATGGCATTTGTCTCTCCCTGTCTAATTTATTTCACTTAACACAGTACCCTCTAGATCCATCCATGTTGTCACAAATGACAAGATATCACTATATTTTATGGCTAAGTAATATCTCATCATTGGTATTTATGACCTCTTCTCTATCCATTCATCGATTGATGGACACTTAGGTTACTTCCCTATCTTGGCTGTTGTAAATAATGCTATGATAAACATAAAAGTGCATATATCTTTTCAAATTAGTGATTTTCTTTGGGTAAATACCTAGATGGAAGACCCTCCATACTGTTTTCCATAGTGGCTGCTCCAATTTACAACCCCACAAATGGTGCAATAGGGTTCCCTTTTCTCCACATCCTCACCAACACTTGTTATTTCTTGTCTGGATATTAGCCACTTTGACTGGTGTGCATGATAGTTCATTGTGGTTTTGATTTGTATGTCCCTAATGATTAGTGATACATCTTTTCATGTGCCTGTTGGCCATCTGTATGTCTTCTTTGGAAAAATGTCTATTCAGGTACCCTGCCCAGTTTTTAATCACATTATTTTTTGGTGTTGTGTTGTATGACTTCTTTATATATTTTGCATATTAGCCTCTTATCAGTTCCCCATTCACTAGGTTGACTTTCATATTACTGATAGTTTCCTTTGCTGTGCAGAACCTTTTTAGTTTGATGTAGTCCCACTTTATTTTTGCTCTTGTTTCCCTTGTCTGGGGAGACATGTTCAAAAAAAAATACTAATACCAATGTTTAAGAAGGTACTGACTCTATTTTTTTCTAGGAGAAAAAAAAAATATATATATATATATATATTCAGCTCTTATATTTAGGTCTTAAGTCCAATGTGAGTTATTTTTGTAATTGGAGTAGTGTACAGTGGTACAATTTTATTCTTTCCCAGCACCATTTATTGAAGAGACACTTCCCCATTGTATCCTCTTGCCTCCGTTTTCATTTATGAATTGACCTTATAGGCATGGGTTTATTTCTAGGCTCTTTATTCTTTTCCATTGATCTAGGTGTCTGTTTTTGTGCCAGTACCATATAGTTTTGATTACTACCGCTTTGTAATGTGGTTTGAAATCAAGGATGCAATACCTCCAGCTTTGTTCCTTTCTCAAGATTGCTTTGGATATTCAGGATCTTCTGTGGCTCCATACAAATTTAAGATTATTTGCTCTAGCTCTTGAAAAATGTGATTATATTTTGATAGGGATTGCAGTGAATCTGGAGATTGCTTTGGGCAGTATGGCCATTTTAACAATATTAATTATTCCTGTCCATGAACATGGATATCTTGCCTTTTCTTTGTATCATCTTCAATTTCTTTCATCACTGTCTTAGGGTTTTCAGAGTACAGGTCTTTCATCTGCTGATTAAATTTATTCCTAGCTATTTTATTCTTTTTAGTGTAATTATAAATGGGATTGTTTTCTTAATTCCCTTTCTTCTAGTTTCTTATTAGGTTATAAAACACAACAGGTTTCTGTATATTGGTTTTGTATCCCACAACTTTACTGAATTCACTTACTCTAATTTTTTTTGGTAGAGTCTTTACTGTTTTCTATCTATAATATCAAAAGCATTATCTCAACCTTGCCTCAAGCTCTGTTTTCCAGGAAACCAAACTAAACTGTAGGTTAAAAATTAATTAATTAACCTTTAAAATGAACTGGCCAGGTTGTAGCTAGCTTTGTTTTCTGCTCTGCCAAACACAGATGTTTACAATTGGAGTGGGGTACCTGTAGAAGTGCTATAACAGCCCATACCAGAATTTTTAATAGTATTTACCACCCTGATCATTATAATTCTCAGATTTTTGTCATTGTCCTCATCACCTCAATTACCTTCCCTAGAATAATATACTGAGAGAGTGTAAAACCATAGAAAGATGTCTAGCATGGGCTCTCCACTCTGTCTCACTTGGCTACAAATTCAGAGATTCCCACCTACCCCTACTTCAGGGTAAATAATTAACTAGAATGGCTCACAGACCTCAGGAAAGACCTTTGCTTATGATTACTTGTTCATTACAAAGGATACAGCTCAAGAACAGCCAAATGGAAGAAATGTATAGAATAAAGTATGGTGCCAGGGGTGTTGGAAAAGCTTCCATGCTCTGGGCATACCCCTGTTCCTGCACACATAGATGTGTTCCTCAACCCAAAGCTCCCCAAATCTCATTGTTCAAGAGTTTTATGGAAGTTTCATTGCATAGTTCAGTCACCAATGGCCTTGCTCCCAGAAGGGAGGGCTGAAATTTCCAACCCTCCAATCATTTGCTGCTTCTTTCTGGTGACCAGCCCTTATCCTGAAGCTATCTTGGGTCACCTCATTAACATAAACTCAGATATGATTGAAAGGAACTTGTGATGAATAACAAAAGGCACTCCTCATGCTCAGGAAATTCCAAGGGTCTTAGGAACTCTGTGCCAGGAAATGGGTGACCAAATGTATTTTTATTATACCATGCCTGTGACACTTCCAGAGATATTTAATGCATTTACAAACAAATATATATTTTTTCATGCTACTTTAAAAACATCCATACACTAATATATACATTTTACTTCATCTGCTCTTTTTTTTCATCTAGCAATTTACCTTACAGGTCAATGCAGTTCAGAATATAAAGCACATTCTCATTCTTTTTTACTGACTATACTCCATTTAATAGAAACATAAGTTTTATTCCTAGTCCCAACTTAGAGACATTAAGGTCCTTTCCAATTTTTTGCTGCTATAAAGAATTGGAATAGCATTGCTGGGTCACACTGTGTGTGCATGTCAAGTTTGACTGCAGGGCTTACTGCCCTCCACTGTGTTGTATCGACTTACATTCCCTCTAGGAATACCTGAGGAGTCCTATTTCCCATACTGTGGCCATTATAATATTGTCAAGCATATTAATCACTATCCAAT